GGTAGATTGAGGTGTTCCGTCACACTTGAAATAGCCTCCCGCAGTTTGATGGTGCTATTGTTCCATTGGCTTTGCCAAATAGTGCAGATGTGTTGTTTTGCCAGGGTCATCAAATCGGTATGTGATGTGTGTATTATTTCTAGATTGGCGTCGGGTTACTGCGACAGCTGCTGCTCGATCGGCTCGTGAATATTGAAACAGTTGAATTAGCTATTTTATTGGCACGTTGAAGCAGCATCAGAATAACTTTTTGCATAAAATTTCTATTAAAAAACCTTTTGCACTATCCATGAGCTTGTTTCGGTTACTTGTGCAGGTCTTTCTAATTTTTTTATTCTCAAGTTCCGTCATTAATTTGCAAATAGCGATAAATGTGGAGAATATCACTTTCGCAAATAGTCCCCGGAATATATCCTGCAGTAATGCACGTTATTTAACGTATTTTAGTGTTGTTCACCAGGTTTGTATTCAATGAAATATTAATCACGGCAAACTTGACAACAACTATCGATCATATTTGTTTTTGTTCTTACTTATAGTTTTATGTAAATCCTATAAATAGCGCGCACTCCAAATTTGACTCGATGCCCTGTACTTATCGGTAGCATCCGTGATAACTTTTAAACTCTGTTATGCACAAGAAGTTTGCTGGTGAATCATCAAGTTGAATTTACTTCCAAAAATCACGATGCGCATTACAAACTGTCCCGTGCCCGTACGCACTTTTAAATGCAAAAACCAGGCTGATGTACGATTGCACTAACATGACATTAAGCATTAAATTTTTATATTAATTTCTGAGTTATCATGCAACTTTCAAAGTTTTCACTGCCGTATTTTATTTGTCAATAATTGCTGTAATTTATGTCATTCGCAAAACAGTTATAGTACTATTGCCGTCTGTCCCCGATCATACCACTGCCCCCCCCCCAGTGCATATTGCCAACCGGGCCCTTTTCCTTGAATCCGCCACTGTAAAAAGTATTTTTTATTAAATTTGCTCACAGCTTGAGCGCGCGCGAAGAAGTTTTTCCTACATCAAGCTGATCGCACAGACAACCAGTCTTGCGCTATCATCTATGAGCTTACAGTTAAATCAAAGTTGATGGATGCAGTGTTGCCAGTGTTTAGTAGAAAATACCAGTACGGCATCCATTTAATACGTTTGCATTACAGATTTATCTAAGAGATTTGGAATTTTAAAAATTAGTGGTCGAACTAAATTCGCCTGGGGGGGGTCATGACCCCCATGACCCCCCCTGGATTCGCGCATGACACTGCTCATGTACAAAAAGAAAACGAAGTCTACCGCCATCTAACGTAAAATACATAAAATAAGAACAAATAGTTAGTTAGTTTATACACTATACCCTATCATAATACACTTTGAAGCTACACCCTATTTCACGTTTTGACGTCTACTGAGGTAAACGGCTAATCAGCTAGTGACATTTTTGTGTTAGTCTGCAACGTTTTCTATAATGAAGGGGGTGTAAATGTAGCAAAAAATTGTTTGGAGCGTTTTGTTTTTTGTATGGAAATGAACTTTTCTAAGTAAACGAGCTTTCAGGAAATAGAAAATGAATCTGTAGATAAAAAACCAAAACCAAATATGGTTCCGTCTACCTGGCATTGACGGTGTCCTTTGGCGATATGGGGAATTTTGAAATATTACTAGATAACCAGCTGTCGTTCTACCGTGACGGATACTCGTGAAACAGGGTATATTGATTGACGTAGCACCAACCACATTTTCTGGGGAACTGTTCCAAGTGTTGAATATGCGATTGGGAAGAAACCACTGACGGACTGTCATTCTGAAATGGCTTCTTTTGCAGTTTAAGGCAGAGTTTACTGCTTCAGGTTGGTGGCAATAAAACAATGGTGTATTATAAAGGTAACTATGAGATCGTCTCGGATTCTTCGGTTAGAGAATATGGTTAAGTGGTATATCTAGAGACGATCTTCATAATTGAGTCTGCAAGTTCCTAAAGAGATTTGAGTTACTGACGTTGTACTGCTTCGACGAGATTTCTGTCGCGGGAAAACACAGTTCCCTACACAGGCCAACAAATTGAAGAATTGGCATCACAAATATTTTGTAACTGAAGGGGAAGTGCTGACGTAAGATCCTTTAAGAGACCTCTTCAGCATCTTAGTGGTATAGTGGCTTTGGTTGTAACGTGGTGTATATCCTCTGACCAGGACAAATCGTTGAATACAACGTCAGTATTGCTTCGATGGTGCGATCAGAGAGCCGCGGATTGGTGTTCTCGAGGTGTAAGACACAACACTTTAGTGGGTTCAAGGGTAGAAGCAAACTGTCTGACCACTAACAAACATTGTCAAGATTTCGCTGAAGCCGAGCAGAGTTTACAATGGTGTTGTACCTCTTCGTGTCATCGACATACGCAGAACATCTGAAGGATATCAGGGCGGGAAGGTCAGTTATATATGAGGGAAAAGCACTGGACTCAAGACTCAGCCTTGAGGAACTCCGCTTGCCACACGATGGAAGACATATTGATTATCACTGACGCGTACTGAAAAAGTTCTCCCGGTGAGGAAAGCCTCGATCGGCTGCAACAAATAACTTCTTATACCAATACGCTCCAGCTTGAAAAGAAGTCTTCGGTGCGGGAGATGATCGAAAGTCTTAGATAAGTCTAGGTAGATTATGCCAATTGGAGTGCTCTTGACCAGAGACTGTGTTCAATCGTTGAGAGAGTGAAAAAGGTTAGTGATTATCAATCGTCCATGGATGAACCCGCACAGAAACCTACAAAACGTCAAAAAAAAATCTATAAAATGTCAACTTGCAGACTAGGTAGTTTTTTAAGGCGCAAGCAGTTATTCCACGTTTGTTCACTAGGATCGTTGTTAACGTCCATCTATGGAGGAATCACTCAATTAAGCTACATGTATTATTGGTTGCATAGTTTTGTGATGCCAAATGGTCCTTGTCTGTAGTTTTTATCTCTGAGATGAAAGTTGGTTGAATAGCAAGATCGCATCTGTATAATTATGTGTATTGGTCTGCATGTGTATAAAATCAGTGATATTTGCTGTGTGAGAAAATCATTACCGAATATGCTGCCAATGAGGTATATCTACTAGCTGTGCCCGACGGGTTATTTATATGTTGCCCTTTCTGAAGACAGGTTATGTTCAAAGTCATAAATTACGATTTTTTACGTTTTTTGTGTTTTCAAAAACTTTTAGGAGAATTACGAGAAATGGTTACCGCGCCCGCGTTGTGTGTAATTACTGTTAGCATTTGTAATTCGACAGTGTACAGTGAATATAATTATTTCTCTGATTTTTGAAATTCAGCAAATTTGCATATGTAATTTCCAGAATGGGTAAGAAAAAGTGTATGCGCAGCTAATTTCTAGCTTTGAATCTCAAGTAAGTGTATTTGAGACAAGAACCCAATGTAATTATCATCAAGACATACAACTTACAGCTTAGACCTCCAGTAATGCCATTTCAGAAGCAGATTTTACACCACATCAGAGCCAAATATTCATAACAAGCATCATGACGTTTAGGCAACACGTACTACTAAGTACTAAGTTAATATCTTGTACAAATACCTACATAATGTCAAAAAATTCAGCATAGTGTCAAAAAAAAATTGCCATAATGTCACTTTTCAAGATACGTGATGCCCGTGCCATGCTGGTTATTAGGTATGGCATCATTTTCGAAAGCGTATATATTATAATAAGATTCGTAATTGACACCGCTAAAAACATTGAAAATAACGTATACTTTGTTTTTAATTGCCTAGCGACAAAAATCGTAGTCACACACTTCTTTTTGTGCTTGCTTCCATCTGCCATCCCACCTTCTGATTCTGAAAGGCAAGCTTCAGTCATGCTAGAAGGGTTTCAATTTTCTTTACTATCTTTTCCATTACCTCTTTCCAATTTGAAAAAGCATTTCTGATAAATAAAGGTCATTAGATTTAGGCAACTGAAACGTGTCAGCTTTGCGCGACTAAAACCAAAAACTTGCTTGTCCAATATACTTTTAATCAAACGCTTAAAGCAGGATTTCTTAAGCTTTTTGCAGGTACGCACCATTTGCAGAATACGAATGGTTCCTCGGGCCCCTCTTAGAGAGTATTTTAAGAAAAAAAAAATAAACCTCATCTTCATTTAAAAAAACACACATTTATCGGTAATTTCATTAAAGTTAATGTGAATGATGTTGCTGTTTGGTCTCAATGAGAACATTAAGTTGTGGAATTGTCTTCGACCAGGCAAGACGCATGTCTTATCATTTTTTATCGACAGCAGAATCAAGATCCTGCCTCAGATGGATATTAGAATGATTAGAGCTCGCTGGATAAGAAAAGTGTAGTCTTCACTCAAAAAACACCAGAACTCATCAAGAACTTTTGCATAAAAATCAGCTTGGAAGATATTTTAGATCATATGTCAATTAAATCATCTTCTCCCATGTTTATTTATCAAGCTATTCTAAGCTGAAGCAAGCTTCAAAAGACATTTATAATGCTTCCAGATATTTTGAGACTTCTTTTCGTATCATTAAAAAAATATGTCAAATATAACTGAGCTTCAGGCAGCAGCGGTGGCGTAGTGGTAGACGCTACGGTCTCCTAATCAGTCGCCGTGCGGTGCGCGGGTTTGCATCGCGTCCCAAGAGAATTTTTCTCTTGGTTATGGATGTTGTGATTGTCCGTAGGTGGTGAAGGTCTCTGACTGTCGAACGCGGAGGTACCACCCGGCGGATCTCGGAGGCGGGGAAAGCATATCTGCATGTTGCATGCACACGTGTTCCCTCTGTAGAGTCCGCGTGGCGTCCCCCCTTTCCCCTGAATCCCCCTATTGCTCCACGGTACCCCATGGGTATTTAGGCTTTAGGCTCTCGTGGTGGTCGGAATATACAAAAAGCTACTGCGGACCCCTAATCAAGATGCTACCCTTAAGGGGACTTTACATTATATGGTACAAAGGTTTACTTGCAAATACCTAGGGATGAGGAGAAACCTGGTGTGTTCATCTATCAGGCCTAGCACGTGACGGAATAGTGTAGGATAGCTCAAATCAGTAGAGCAAAGCTCGTTAACATATCGATAGAAGAGGGTCAGATTACAGACTCCGCCCAAGAAACAATAAGCGAGGGTGAGGAGAGACAATACAACAATGGAAAAATAATATTTTTTGCAAAAATCCGATCTATAAAATACATCGTAGTAATAAATAATAAAATCACACTTGTAGAACACTTCTTGTAAAACTGTGTAAATGTATTTATATGTGCGTTTCACCACTTTATGCTTTTTGCTAGTTTCCGCAAATGCAATGCGGTTCCGAAAATTTTGTCCCAAAAGACGCTGCTGATACCAAAACCTGCAACAAGGAAAAATTTTATCATTTTCTCTAACATTTGGCTGTTACAGATCGAGAACATGCAATTTAGAATATAACTATGTTATCATCTTTTCTGCTGGCGTACCGTGTCCGCTTACTAGGATTAATATGAGTACTCTCAGAAGTTCTAAAATAATACGAGTCGCCAATCTCACGGAAGAATCTTAAGGCCACCTTAATACCTTAATAGGATTGCAAAATAATATAGAACTAAAAACTAAATTGATTTGGATATAATGCTGAAGTTCGAAGTGATAGTACATATACAACATTATTTTAAAGCAATTTATTAAAATTATTATAGGAATTTATGTAATCTGACTACATCAAAAAAAGCTTACCGCTATTGTGGTGAGCAAAGTGATGTTGATTGTGATATCTTTTCAAATGGTAGAAGTAGCTGTTCTCGTCAGGTGCTCCATGATGTAAGTAGAAATGAATCATGTCATAAACGACATAACCTGTAAAAGAAACACATTCTCATCACGATGCTACTCTATACAGGCTGGTTTGATTATAGCCACCTCAAAAGTCATCCATCAAACCTAAGCGATGTGGCAGAGAATTGTCATGGCGCTGTATTGTTGCGCTGTTAAATCAATTATACGCATATTCGGCTATAAGTTGTCCCCACTTCAAGTTTTTCTCCCTGCAGACATTTGTCAGAAAATTTCTGACAAAAGAGCTGCAATTAAGCAAGCGAAGAGGTTTTGTCACCCAGATGACATTCACAGAGCAACTAATCTTGTTCATGAAGTGACAAATGCTCTTCATGAATTCCGTAATGCGTAATGGAGCGACTTTTGGTCGGGGATGCTTAACTCAAGTATTCCTCTCTGGAAAGTTGCAAAGTCGCTCAGAAACGGAAAGTGAGAACAACTCCCGCACATCCACGGTCCTAGGGGCATAGTCTGTAGCACATAGGAAAAGGTCGAGGTTTTCGCTCATGCAATGGAAAGTCAGTTCTCTCCCAACTATGACCTTGATAATGACCTCGACGAGGAACAACATATTGTAAGATCCCTCAGGAGATATTTTAGGACCAACGGCGTCAGTGGCAGTAGTGCCTCCCTTAGTGATTTTTCCTCAGAGGAACTTTCAGAAGATTCCTCAACTGAAGAGCTGCATGGCACATCAGCGAAATCTCCTGAGACTCCGCATTGCACACCAGCTGAGCTCCAAGGTCATATTAAAGACCTGCGTAAAGCACCTGGAGAGGATCGAATCACTAATAAGGCGCTGAAGCTACTTTCGCGTAAGTCTTTAACTTACCTCGTGGCAATAATCAATGCCATGATAAGGACCCAGCACTTCCCAACGGCGTGGAAGATCGCTGATGTCATAATGATTCCAAAGAATGTGGGTTCGATATTCCCCCAGGATTACCGCCTCATTAGTCTACTGTCAGCTCCTTCTAAGCTCGCTGAAATGGTTATTCTACGTCACCTTGAAAATCTCTCGGCAGACCACAATGTGATTCCTGTCGTGCAATTTGGCTTTCGGTCTGAGCATAGTACGGAGCTACAGGCCATAAGGCTTGTTGATCGAGTAACCAGGGGGTTCACCCGTAACGAAAGTACTGGTATCTTGCGTCTGGATGTCTCAAAGGCATTTGACAAGATGTGGCACAAGGGCCTTCTCTACAAATTGATCCATAAGGGCTTCCCCTTCTGGCTCCTAAAACTTTTGAAATCCTTCCTCGAGGGTAGGAAATTAGAAAGGTTCTGTTGACCACATGGCCCATCAAAGTCGGTGTCCCTCAGGGTTCGGTTCTTGGACCAGTCATTTATTCACTTTTTATTCATGACGTCCCTTGCCCCAGCAACTGTGAAATCTCTATGCTGATGATACTGCAGTGGTGGCCCAGTCGTGCTCTGGGGATCTAGTTTACGACGGGCTGCAAAGTGTAGTGGACGAGGCATTCGAATGGCTGATGAAAATTAATCATTCGAAAACGCAGGTAATCTATTGTACTAAAACACGTAGCGGCGCCCCGTCTGAGGTTTCAGTGACTGGAGCTCGGAAAGCTCTGCTAAGTATCTCGGCGTCACTCTTGACAAGGGGATGACCTGGCAGAAGCACACTGAAGCGTTAAAAACTAAATTCCAAACCTCGTTTCGGCAACTCTACCCTATGCTATGTAGAACATCAAAATTAAGCTTGATCAACAAAGTTCGGCTATACAGCGATCACTTACGCAAGTGCGGCTTGGTGTTTTCTCGCCAAAACGCATTTGCGTAGCCTGCAGGTTTTGCAGAACAGAATCTTGCGTACAATCACTAACGCCCCATGGTATGTTTCCAACGAGACCCTTCACAGAGACATTGACATCCCTTACCAATTTTTCTTAGAGGGACAGGCGGCTTCTACCCGCACGAGAATGAGAAATAACAGGTCTGTGATGCCCTTAGATGTTCTGGGCCGCACGCGCGCTACACTGAAGGAATCAGCGAGTCCTCCCTGGCCGAGTAGCCTGGGTAACCCGCTGAACCTCTTTCGTGCTAGGGATTGGGTCTTGCAATTATTCCCCATGAACGAAGAATTCCCAGTAAGCGCGAGTCATAAGCTCCCTGCCCTTTGTACACACCTGTCGCTACTACCAATTGAATGAGTTAGTGAGGTCTTCGAACTGGTACGCGGTGGTGTTTCCGCGTCGGAAAGATGACCAAACTTGATCATTTAGAGGAAGTAAAAGTCGTAACAAGCGCAGCTACGTTATAGTCAAGCGGAATCGAGCAAGTTCGTAAGCACACAAGGCCGCGACTCGCACTGTCAACAAAATTAAATCGTGCGACTTTAGGTCCAACCAAAATTATAATTTTTCTTCACCAAGCAATCCCAAAATTAATTTCAGGATCAATTTAAAATTGCCGAATAATAATTAGCAATGCCAAGGCATCCCTCAAATTGACGCATTTCGTTTTCTTTGCTCTAACTCCTTTCTTCCTTCCTTTCTTCTTCCCTTCTTTCTCCTTGACTTTGTTTGGTATCTGGGCAACCAGACCTGACAGACCTACTGACTTACAAGCCTTCCACCAAGAGCAAAGGTCCTACGGACCGCTTTGACAGACAATGACGAATAGACTCAAGTTTTTTCATAGGACTATAAGGTCTATCATGAAATTCTCTGTTTTCAATATGCATTTCAAAATATATGTTTTCTTTTTTGATGCAATCTCAAATCAGTTTAAGATATCAAAGAGATTCGTGCTCAATATTTTGTTTGTTGGCCCTATAATGGCAGAAATGCATTCAGTGTGAGAAATCTGAACATTAAAGGACAAAACTTTCAAGAACCATAATTAATGCTATTTTTTTGTGAACACTAATCTTTCCGAAATTTTGGTTACAGTTGCAAAATGTGGAATTACGTTAATAACTTTTTCCTACCAGTGTTGCTAGTTGTCATGATGATCAACTTTAATCAAATCCAAGCGAATAACCAACATTTCTGTGTTATGTGCCGCGGTTATAATATGGTTCAAGATGACACACGGGTTGATGACGTCAGTTACACGAATCGCTTGAACGCGTTGGTTTTAACCGCGGTTTTGTTGCAAGTTGTTTATTTTAGAAAAGCGCGTATATAATCTCTGATTATTTTTATTATCACTTAATAATCGGTGCTTTTTCGTCTAGAACTGTATATGGAAAGTTTAAATAAGAAACCTTTCATAATATTCATGGGAAAAATGTTTTTTTCAGTTTTTTTTTAATGATCTAACCATGGCTTTGTAGCTATGATAACTTTCAATTCTCTAAATTTTTCCGCATGTCAAAGAAAACATTTATTGATTCAGCAGAAATGATGAAAAAAGAAATTAGCAAAACCGTATACAGGTGGATATCATCTAGTGAGTTTATATGGCCATATTTTAATATTCTTGTGGTATATGGCTACACAGGATACTTTGTTAAGCATAGGAACTACATTTAAAGTATCCCCAACAACCGTAATGAGTATAACTAATAAGGTGCTCCACTTTATGGTAAAACTGAAGTCAGCCTGTATCGTTTTTCTCAAAAATGAAGCTGAAGTACAATAACAATATCCAATACCCGGCAAAATTCTAACTTGTCACATTTCAAATAATAACCAGAAATATAAAACTACTCTTGAGTTGGGTAAATACCACAATTTTGCGGTGATAACTATGACATATAACAGCTGATTCGTGACGTCACGGATCTTATAACCAAACTAATAACTACACTCGCTTGAACGGATTGGTAAATACCAACCCAAAATGGTAAATACCATTTCCATTTGGTTATCCGCTTGAATTTGATTTTTGCCATCTCAGATATTTATATTTATCCGTATTTCAGCTGTAGAATTTGTATTTTCGTAGTCTCATTTCTTTTTGTCCATGTTGGTAACTATGTGAAACTTATAGGTATGTGGACAGATTTTGGTAACTGTAACTATACTCAGCCGTTTTAGCTTTTTAGTCTATATTCACCTTTTGTTATTCAAAGACGTTATAAATCCTTGTAGTATTTTTACTTCTTTGTTTCAGTGAGAGTCTGCACATATAGGGAAAATATTATTTTCACTCCAGCCAGCATCATTGTTTTATAGGCGGATAGGCGTATTTAGTATAATGTACGGAAATCCTCAAGTTTGACAGCCTGGCAATACGCCATTTTCAGAGACAGTCGGCCACAAAGCCCCCGCCCGCAAAATCTTCAAAATTAGTCATTTTCGATCAGCTTTGGGTTTAACTGGAACTAGAATATATACATACTTTTTGGACATACACTTCAAGGCTGGGCGATAGCTGTTAGGGAACAGGGAACAAAAACTCTACTATTCTAGTATTATAAAAGATGTGTGGAATCACATTCCTAGGAATTTATGTCCATACTTTTCAAATGAGAATTGAATGGGAATTATCGAGGAAATCTACTAGACATTTTTTGGGGCTGTTATTTTTTCTAGAAGGTGTTCCTTGTTAAACCCCCCAGAGGAATATTCAAGCACTTCCGGGCAATTGGAGAAAAAATCGTACATCATTATGGCTTACAGAAAATCAAAATACCAGAACTTTTCCAAAATTGTCTATCTCACGCTGAAATATGTTACATTCGAATAATGATTGTACCTGATTTCGAGCTCTGACAATTTACTGGACAATAATGGTGAGACGCATTTTTAGGCCCGTATCGTCAGTCGACCCTACAATTGTAGGGCGCGTTTATGGCCTCCTTGATTATCATACTCCTTTCTCCTTCAAAAATTTCTAGATTACACTTGTCCCGTGTCAGCGTCAGCGTTCTCCTATTGTAAAGATATGTTTTCTTTTTAAATTGTAGGAAATTTCAGGCTGATAAAACATGATATAACTCAAAAGCATGCACAATTTGATGCAAATAGATGTTTGTGCCATAACCTCAAAATAGAGTTCTGACACGGAGAAGCAGAAAACAATGACAATCAAGGAGGCCATAAAGGCACCCTACAATTGTAGGGACGACCATCGATACGGGCCTTAGACTTCAGGTTGCTGTCATATGAGAAAACCTAGCATTTGCTTTATCGTGAATGAATACTTGTTAATTTGAACTCCGTATCATTTAAAATCATTATGGCAATGCACGCAGCAGTTGGTATTGTGGTGGAACATTTGTTGAGCGATTCGAGTGATGATTCGGATGAAGAAGTTATCCAGTGGAGAGAAAGAGCAAATTTTCAGATATGCATAATTCAAAATAAAATCACTTGCTTTCAGAAGCTCTGTTTATTTCGCATTGTTTTTTAAATTTCAAGCCACTCCTACGCTGTAGCATAACTTCAATCTTTTTTTCTTCCATTTTTTCACTCGAAACTGTAGATGTCAAAAAAGGATGAAATGTAGAGGTTAGAATATGGATCAACCGAGCCCGAACGTCAGTGGCTGCTGTTGGCACCGGTGGCATATCCACCATCAATATAAAGACAAGTTTGATGTACAACCGGTCGTTCCAGCAGAAATTAAAGGACGCAAACTTGGCTAACCGGTTGTACCGGTAGTTCAACCGGTGAATTAAAGAATGTACCTATTGATATACTCAGTTAAGTATGGATGATGGGGACAAATTATCTATGCAAATTGATGATGACTTACCTAATAATCCACCTGCAATTACCAGCAGATGTGTAGAGTCACAGAAAAACAATGACGTCAGCTTGTAGATGGTGAACGTGATTATGGCAGCTGGAAATGGTGGAAATACTAATCTTCTTGAATCGAACGGTACCTGCGAAAATCACATTTTTGAATTTGATATATCATACCAGTTTGGTAATTCGTCATATTGCTTCCAGGTAATGACAGAGGACCCACAATGAAACATATTTCATTATACTCGTACGTATAGACGAAAATCAATTGCGTTCGAGATTGTTCAATTCCTGTGTTACATACCTTTCGGAAACCTGATTTTAACGGGCAAGTTTTTCCAGCAATTTACTATGAAATACAATCAATGTAGGTACTAGCAATTTTCAGAGGTAGACACAATTTTGTTATACGTAGAACTGAAAAGAAACATTATTTTACTCATTGGAAATGCTGCTGTTTTATTATTTGTTGCATGTTTAGTACCATTCATGATTATTATAAATTATGAAAATCAATTGAACTGTCACGCATCTCTCATAGAGTTTTTTATTTTTTGACTCAAATGTCTAATTTCGGGTGACTGTTAAAAAATTGCAAATATTGATAAACCCCCAAAACTATTGTTTTTTGCCCATACATACACCTATGTGAGAGTGCAATTTATTATCAATTTATCATTATTTTTTGGAAGCAATACGGAGAATCACCCTGTACAGGATATAATTTATTTAACAAACAAATAATTTTCTAAACGTGTTTGTGGCGCCTTAACACTATCAGTAATGTTGCTAGGTAATATCAAGTCACTGAATCCAAAAAAAGTAAACCCTTATCAATTTAGTATAATCTGTACTCAAATAGTGCTTGATCTCACTGATAATAATAAACTACTATTATTACCATCAAAAATTCAGTACTTACTTTATGATGAAGTCCATGTATGGCAAAATGAAAGTATATCATTAATTTCGACTTCCCAGACGGTTCCATATGGAAAACCCATCTGTGTAGGGAATATTCTATCAACGTCCAAAGAACGATTCCTTCTGATATACTTAGTACTACTGGTATACAAGGTGAAACGTCTGAAAAAAAGATAATAGATATATTAAGATCACACGTCTCCTTTTTTCGCTTTGTTTCAACTACCTGTTTGAAGCAGTATTCTAAATACTTCAATGTTTTTAATTGTTTTAACAACATATGCATTTTTTGTCCTTTTATTGTGCATTTTGTCTTCTATCGTGACTTGTTAAATAAGTTCAGCTTTGAAGTTGTATGTGAATATTCCACTTACGGAGGAATAAATGGATGATTACTTTGATTCTTATTGCTTTTTCTCTTTGATTGATCATTGATTTTCTTGAAACCTCAATTTGCAGCAAATTAAGTTTTCAAGAAGAGCAGAGAGAAAAGTGATAAGAATAAAAGTAATGACCTGTTTCATTCTTCCATAAAAGAGGAATATTTACATACTACTTCAAAGCTGTACTAATATTTGTTAAGAAGCTGCAATTAAAGAAAAAATGCACAATAAAATGCACTTAAAATGCACTTTTTGACAAAAAAATGAAAGCCTTGATTTTCAGTCATCTCTATACACACAATGTAATAATCAGATGGAAAGGATTTATAATACTGCTGCAAATAGGTAGGGGAAAAATGGACGTGCGACCTTAATATGTTGTACGTAAGTTATTATTAGCGAGAAAACTATACGCGAGGCCTTGATGTAGTCACATGCGAAGGACTCCGCAGAAACTTGATGCAAAATGGCTCCCAGCTAACTTATTTAAAAATCTAGTATGTTGTAAATCTTGAGATGTAGAACAAAATAATCCACGAGTAGTTTCAGAGATACAGGGCCTCCAAGTAGTACCCTATAACTACGTACTGTGGATTCGGTACACGATATGTAATAGTAGTATGATATTTGTTCTCGAACCTACAATACGCCGTCTGTCTGGACTATCCAACTTGGAGGCACTGTAACTCATGGAAAAACTTGAGTCCATGCACGATTTTGTTCTGCCTGCTGACATCTACAACTTACGAAATGCTTAAAAATATTGTGGAGCTATTCCTCATACGGTTTCTGCTCGTGTAACTCAAACTTCTTAGTAAATCTCGACAGAATGATAGCTGTATGCGAAGCTGTCAGACAATTATGCATTACCAAAGTATAGATAGCAATATTAAATGGCGGCGAAAATGGAGAACCAACGATTTCTGTCATTGGTGTGGTCTAAGAAAAAATGACTTAAAACTTCGTATACGCTCATTTGAAGTGTATGTCGTCTAAGCTATCAAGGTTTGGACAACAATCTTAAAATGTAATATATTATTGAAAATTAAAAACAATTTTGAGCTGAAATAACATGTTATTCCCCTCGAACAACAAACATCAAGATAGATCAAAACAGAACTGTGTGCCTTGGAATTATCGATTTGGAAGTAAATCAGTAACACACACGCACTATCTGCTATGTGATTACATACAAAAAATCCTATCGAAATCGATAAGCCTTTGCATAATGAATAAGGAATACCACGGTGGATTAGTAGCTGATTAGATTATTGTGGCGAAATGAATATTTGCATTCAATATGCAATAAAACATGCTAGTTTATTGCAAATTTCCTAAATATAAAATAATATTTTCGTAAAGTCTGCAATGATATTAATAATGATACATACAGGATGCCCTAAAAGTCATGGAGCAAAAGAAAGGGTCATTTGCAATCAGAAAAATCATATAGGTCCATATCCGATTGTGCACGGTTTTTGAGTTATCGCCATTCTTTCGAATTTGCGGAAAATCGCTACTTTTAAGACTGTACTATTTTTCCAGAACTTGTCTTTTGACGTTTCTCAATCAGACTGACAAGATATCTTCCCGCACGGGTATCACGTAACTTGAAAAGTGACATTATGCCGATTTTTTTGACATTATCCTGGTATTTTTTGACATTATGTAGGTTTTTCTACAAGATATTAAGTTAGCACTCAGTTGTACGTGTTGCCTAAAAGTCATGAGGCTTGTTATCAATCTTTGGATCTGATGTGATGTAAAATCTGCTTCTGAGATGGCATTACTGGAGGTCTAAGCTGTAAGTTGTATGTGCTAATTAATGATAATTACATTGGGTTCTTGTTTCAAATACACTTAATTGAGATTCAAAGCTAGTTGCGCATTCACTTGTTCTCATCCATTCTATACATTACATATACAAACTTTGCTAAATTTCAAAAATGAGAGAGATAAGAAATAATTATATTCACTGTACACTGTCGAATTACAAGACATATACATGCTAACAGTAATTACACACAATGCGGGCGCTGTGATGATTTTCCGCAATTCTTCTCAGTTTTTCGTAATTTATAACTCTGAACATAACCTCTCTTCAGAAAGCACAACAAAAAAATAACCCGTCGGGCACGGCCAATAGATATACTTCATTGGCAGCGTATTCAGTAATGATCTTCTCACACAGCAAATATCACAGATTTTATACACATTCAGACCAATACTCATACATCACCCAGATGCGCTCTTGCTATTCAATCAACTTTCTTCTCAGAGATAAAACCTACAGAAAAGAACCGTTTGGTCTCACAAAACATATGCAACCAATAATGCGTTTAGTTTAGTTGAGTGATTCTTCCTTAGATGGACGTTCACAATGATCCTTGTGAGCAAACGTATAATGACTGTTTGCGCCCTAAAAACTACCTAGTTTGCAAGATGACATCTTATAGGTTTTTTTGACGTTTTATGAGCGAAAGTTTAGTCCAGTTAATGTAGGTACAGAAATCGGCTGCAGGTACCTGCAATTTTGTCTGATGTCACAAATATTACAAGCATATATATCGAGGTCTGTACAAAAAATTAGTAGGCGGATAAAGTGTCCATAGTTATGCAAAACTTCTTGACACTATGACCTTTCAAAATACATATTAGTTAATCAAAAATCCTAAATTTTTTCTGCGCAAAGTGGGTAAAATTCTGCAGGTACCTACCCTAAATCCGGAAATTCCATTTTTTAAAACTTAACCCTTTAACTGCCATTTTGGATCTTCTTCCTTTCAAATAGGATAATCAAACACTTATGCGACAATAAATATTCAAACCTGAACAAATTCTAGGTCTAATCATTCCAAGGGATGGCGTCCTTGACATTATTTTGGGTGTTGGAAGTGATACTGAAAAGGTGCAGCATTATCTAAGCCAGTAAGCCCAATTACCCGCCTTATGTAATTCAAATAGAAGATAATAGAACTTGAATATGATTATTAGATGCCAAGCATGTGATGTTGACGTTTTATTCCCTCTATATCATAAGGGCCATTCTTTTTTTTATAAAATATGTTGCAGCTCTGGAAAGAGCCCTTTATTGTGTCTTCATTCTGCTCTAATACAAGCGCTGCATCACGTGTGGATTACTGCGGAGGCTGTTGCTCCCAGTAGCAATCCGTTTTCTTGAAACTTGTACGGCTGGAGTTTCAGCATAAAACACTACTTCCTTCATACAACCCGTTACAAAGAAATCAAGTGTTGAGATCTGGTGAACGGGGCGGTCAGGTTATCGTTCCTCCACGCCCTATCCACCGACTTGAATATGTGTGATTTGTAAAACTCTTCTGGCTTGCATTGTATGGAGGGGCACATCGCTTTTGTCGATGAATTGTTTTGTAGACACTTTTAATAAGTCTCTCCACACTGGCACCTTAATAAGGCCATTCGGCCATTTACTATCCCAGCCCATAAGTTAACTCCGAATCTGGGCTCTCTCGAGAGCCCAGTGATGTAAGTTAGGGATATTATAAATTCCTGTTCTTTGAAGATAAGCTTCGTCCGTCCATAATTTTTTTTTGAAGAACTGCGAGTCATCTCTGTATTTTTGGGATATCCTTCTGCAAAACAGGACTCTCTTTGGGAAGTCTTCTGGAAGAAGCGCCTGTAAACGTTGAATGTGAAACTACAACAGCATTCCGTGAGACATGATGCACGTTGCTAGAAGGTTCATTTTCAGTTAACTGTAATACCACATCTTCAGCAGCTACACTGATCCTCCACCTTCCAGTTCTTACTGGCCTCCCAGGCATTTCTCGTGCTACACGACATGTACGATGGTCTGGAAAATTTTCTCTATGGGGATATCGATTTCGATACTCTTCGGCAGCACATCGAGCATTTCCATTGCACAATTGTCTACCTGTTTTCATTACCTATTGGTCAGGTAATATCGCGGGATTTCCATAACCCTTCTATTACACACAATCATGTCAGAGTCGCCCTCCAGTACATAAGCAAGACCTGGTATTCCTTTGAGTTTGAAGGTTTGTTGTCCCTCAGCTGTATTCCTTGCATATTCAGAAGGTAGAAGATCAACAGGTAAAAGGTTAAGTTAAGAAGAATGAGAATTTTCCGAATTATGGTATCTGCAGCATTTTGTCTACTTTGCGCTGAAACTATTTGTGATATTTGATGATCTAGGTATTTGGAAGGTCATAGTATGGAGAAGTTTTCCATCATTATGGACAAATTTAGCCTATTGCTGTACCTACATTAACTGGATAAAAATTTCGCTCATAGCCTTTTTCCAGTAACACATAATTTGTGAACATATCTTGTATAGAAAAATAAGAAAATGGACTAGAGTAGCGAAACTCATCGTACGCCACTGCTATTACGCGGAGGCCTTCGAAAATGCGGCGTTTCTTTGTGAAATGTCGGTAAACGTCGCTGTAATCAAAAGGTACAGCGTTAAAGCAGCGGCGCACGATGACTTCTGCTGTTGTCATCAATTCTGGTATTTGACTATAGATCTGACTGACAAATAACCAACAAAAACTTCAGGCAGCAGCGGTGGCCGCAGTAGTAGACTCTTCGGTCTCCTGATCAGTCGCCGTGCGCTGTGCGGGTTCGAGTCCCATCCCAGGAGAAATTTTTCTCTTGGATATGGATGTTGTGATTGTCCGTAGGTGGTAGACGGTCTCTGAATGTCGAACGCGGAGGTACCACCCGGCGGATCTCGTAGGCGGAGCATGTTGCATGCAGACGTGTTCCCTCGCCAGAGTC